TTTTGTATATACATTTTTATTATATTTTTTTCTTTTCATGCGTTTTTCACAATATAGCGTCAAATTTAATCACGTGACCTTTGACGTTAAAAATGAGCAAAGGATTCGATTATCGGCGTTTGTGTTGCTATCGAAATGTATCCGAAATAATCGCAACATATCGAGAACTATCGAAATCTTGGGACATATATATCGATGTCGATTAAAAAAATATTTTTGAATCATCTTGACAATATAAACGTATTTTCCGATTTTTATATTTAAATAAAGATTATGCCTAACTAAGAAAATCATTTATTATGATCTCTAATAAATTTCCATAAATGTTATTTGAGTATTCGTTGCAATAAAAAAAAAAAACCAGGTTATCTAGAGTAACGTCATGGATCAGCTGATAGCTGCAGTAGTGTTGGTCTGTCAGTCATATCACTAAACTTGTATTCATTATGCATTGTAAAAAATTGACAAATGTATACTAGGTACACAAACAAGAAAATTGAAGAAAATAAAAGATAACAGAGAATAAAAATGTCTCTGTACTGGATTCACTGCCACAGGAGAGAAATAAAAAAGTATATATACTCGTAACTACAATCTGGTTTGCTCTATTTTTAACATCGGATGAATCAAGATACTAACATATTACTCCCGACTAACGATAATTCAAACGTCAGTTTGCCATGGATGAACAAAACGTCAAAATGTTAATTTTTCCCTTTTCGATGCTTCGGTTTCGTCCAAAATTAGGGGCTATATGGATTGCACAAATTAACGAAATGAAACATTCTCGTGAAATTTTTGCACGATCTGACTACCATCATGGAAGCTTATTAATACAGATGTAGCAAACAGGCAAAGTTATTTTGGGCATGTGCTTGTTAACCCTAAAAATGCAGACATAGATGATTTTAACATTGACTATCACCCATGAACCTGACATTCTGGGATATTCTCACTAATTTCGTTTAAACATGGATCCAGATTCCACAGAGATGGCAAACGAAGTCAAGAACAAAGTCATACTGCACTGGAACTGTCGAGGTCTTGTGGAGTTCCCAGAAGTGATAAGATCGCACGGTAGTCATATTCAAGAGATATATCTCAAGTGGAACAAGCTTACCACTCTACCATCCTGGATCATAGAACTGTTCAATGTAACTAACTTGTACATGTATGGCAATCTGATTGAACAATTGCCCATAGAACTCGGTCAGATGAGTCAGTTGACAGTGTTGGATCTAAGCGCTAATAAACTGGAGCAAATACCTTTCTGCATCGGTAACTTGAGCAATCTAAAGTCTTTATTCTTAAATGACAACTTTGTAGAAAGATTACCAGTTGGTAAGTGTGATTACTAGGTATATGTTCTATCACGAGAACAAAGAATTTATTGATTTATCTGACAAACAAAAACAGAATTGAGCAAACTGAGAAATTTGGAAATACTATCTGTCTCGGGCAATCATATTGTTGCACTACCAGAATGGATCGGCTCTCTACCAAGACTTAAAGAATTATATATAGATAACAATCAGCTGAGAGAACTACCTAACAGGTTGACGTTAGCTCCTGAACTTGCCATGATCTCTGTGTGTTCAAATAGGTTATTATCCATATTTACATTTTTCAAAATAAACTTTATAAAAAATATAAGAAAAAGTTACATTCTAACAGAAATCAATTTATATTTTTTAACTGTGTATAAATGTTTATTACAGGCTGAGATATTTACCATTTAATGGATTTTTATCAGCTCCTTGTATCCGATTTGATGCAAATGAATACTTAAATTATGTGTCGTATCCGCTTCTACTTCAACTACTTTCACAACTTCGAATGACGGCTATACACGATAGGAGCAGTTTGGCATTTGGGTAAGCTCTTTAAAGATATCAATAACCAGAATATGTATATATCAATGTAACTGAAAGATAAATCCTGAGCAGCTGTTACTTTATTACATATACAAAGTAATTTTACATAATTATATGTGTATATATATATATATATATATATATATATATGGAATCACAGGTGTTTTAAAACGCATTATAACACTACTGTGTTAAACACAAATATGAAATTGTACGTAGAAATGAGAGGTTTGTATGAGATGGACGCCGACGTTATAATCGAATTACCACGGCAGCTCCTAAAAATTCACCAAGTTCACGAAAACACGACCTGTTCTCTATGGGAATTAGCCCTGCGAAGAATTTATATCGAGAGGTAATTCAGGAACGTTATGTAAAAATATCAGGAATATCTTCATTTCTATTTCAATAGAGTATAAGTATCTCATATAATTCAACGCAAGTATATTTTAGGTACAAACATACACTCGATGTGTTCACTTCTCCTCCAAACGTGACGATATTCTATGAATCACTTCCCAAAAATACTAAATTGGACTTTACATTGTCTTCTACAAACTATACTTTATATAGTTTATTAATGAACGGACCTGCCAGTATTTGTATAAATACACAATGTCAGCAACCTATATTTACAGAAGCTTGGATCATTATCGGTATTAGCCGTTACGCAGAGTCCATGATAACGATAGCTTTATGTTGTAGCAAAAGGTAACATATAAAATAATTGTATAGTACCTGAGTATATATCAGTTTGTAAGTCTTTTTCAACTTTGCAGTTGTGCTACCGCATTTGCTACACACTCGAATACGACTATTAAGCTTCATTGGCACTCGATCAATTGATGAATTCTTCTCATTTAGATATTGATACGTATTTAATTAATGCATTTCTGTATATAAAAAGTATTAGGAAAATAAAAATTCTTGTTTGTTGAAATCCTGCGACAATATTCTGTAAATTAAATCTCTAGCTATGTGTGATCATATAATTTATTCAGCATTCAGCTATCAATAGCGAATGTTTCGTTTGATAATGCCCAGTAAGAATTCAAATTCCATGACATAATATAACATAGATTAAGTTAAATTATTATAATATCATATGAATATAGTTTTCTCTAGATATTATTAGCCTAGTTTACACTAATATACTTTAATATATACTAAATATTATACCAACCAATCACAATCATTCCATTCTTTAGAGGAATGATTATGATTGACCAGTGTATTACTTAATACATATTAAAGTATATTGATATAAACTAGGCCATTATTCAAGTGACTAGTTTCACTGAATACTATTTTTTTTATTAAAATATACCTTGTGATTTTGAGATGCGACATATCTCTTTCATGTAATATGTATAAAAAGTTAAATTTCTTTTTCTTTTTTAGATTCCATCTCTGTTTTCACATAAAATTAAGTCGCGGAAAATATTCTCTGATCTATATATATTCTATAGATATTGATTTGATCGTTTACTCAAGCGATCAAGATATCTAACGCTTTGTCGCGATCGAAATTACACTTCACTAATGCCGCGGAAACTTCATCTTCGTGGAATCCTAAATCTTTCAATGTACATAAATTCTCGTAGTAGATTCTTGCTTTGGATTGATCGTGCTGCGTGAGTATCAGCGCTTTCTCGGCGTAGTCATTCGGGACGCCGCACTCCTCTAGAGATTGGATGGCCAATAGGTATTCTACGATTTTCTTTTCATGTACACGACCCAATTCTAACACCGCGCGTGCCGCTCTGCACTTAGGAAATCCCATGTCATTCAACTGCATCACCAACTTTAAATCATCCTCCGTCATATTCGACAACGAATCCGCTGGCGATTTTGCGTGATTCGATGATAACGCATCATTGTGTCTCACATTTGCGCACCTGTCACTATCTGGACTCTCCAAATCGGGCCACGGTTTCCAATTCTGTTGCAAGGATAGGTCGATTAAAATTAGTCATAAACTATATATTGCAAAGAAGAAATTTTTTATCACCTCCATAACAGGCCGTTCCAATTCTTTTTGAAGTTCCTGCATTATTGCTGAAACGCTACGATGATTTTCAACATTAGCTAGTTCATCCTCATCGGCTTGACTATCCACTGGAGTTTTCATATCATCAACTTTCTCTTCCTTGGAAATTTTCGAAGTATCATCGATTGTTAATTCATTTATTATATTCTCCAATTTTCCTGCCGGTATCCATTGTGATCTAGGTTGTAAAACCTATATAAAAAAAAATAGATATTAAGTGTAAGACAAACTTATCTATAATATACATAACATTTGCTAATAATATTCATTAGAGTTGCACAAGAAGAATGTAACTTTGTAAAGTGATTATTAGTTTTTCACTTGCTTGTGCTAATTCCTCCATATCATTGATAGTTTTTAGTTCCATATTGTCAAAGGGACTGCTTGTGTCATTATCGAAATCGGCATAATTCAAATCTCCATTGGTCTTTGCATGATCTTGAAGATCATTCGCAGGAAGTGACAAAGGTTGCGGTGTAAGTATTGTCGTTTCTGGAGCAGGTGTATTGATAGGCTGTTGTTTCACGCAATCCAGCGATGATAATGGAGGAGTCTCCTTTTTCTCCATTTTCTTCTTTTCCTTCAATCGAGCTTGAAAGGCTTTGTTATAGGCCTCTCTAGACTTGCGCCATTCGCACATCTGAATACAAATTAATTCGTTATCAAAGATAGGTTCATTTAAATGACAAACGAGTTGTCGAATAATTTCTCCATGTGAAATATTATATGGAACATCAAAATTTTATGAACATAATGATTACCTTCTTGAGTACCGAGTTCTCCAAACTGAAATCATACGTCAGCTTTGACACATCAGGCAAACGATTGTTGTACGCCGCTGGTAGACCAATCTTCCTCGGCGGTTTGTAGGCCTCCGCGATTTTGACATGAACGCCGTCCATATACGACGCGACTAGGTCACATTGTGCCGATACAAAAGGTCGAGCCATTGCTTCCTGGACACGGTAGGAAACGGTAAGAAATAACCTGTGAAGAGCTCTCGTTTTATTCGATCGCACATGTCCATCGATACATCACACGCATATAATTACAATTTAATTGAATATCAGATCCTCTCGCTTTCGAAACTCGCTAGATATCTCTCTAATATCTGAAATGGCAAAAATACACTACTATTTGATAGATCGGAATAGCCTGGCTGTCACCATTAGCCGCCATATTGCTTTTTAGCAGAGATTCAAACCTTGCTTTCAATCAGCTAAGATTCAAACTCTAGTTTACCATAGGATTCGAATTTCTGCTAAATAAATTTTTTTTTATTTTCTGTGATATATTGTTGGCAATGTCAATAATTTTTAATATAAAACCTTGCATAAAAAAGAGAATAATAATTATATATATAATTTCATATAATTTTATTCTATATTATTTTATATTATCAACAATTTGTGTCAAATGTCTAACATTATTGTCAATCACATTATATTTTTATAATTTCTAAGAATACATACTTTCACATTTGGTTTTTATAATTTCTAAGAATACATACTTTCATATTTGGTTTTAATTTAAATGAAATGTACTAATATTTGCAGACTATTATATTAGACATACTGCAAACGTAGGTAATACTTTTGTACTGTGAATATCACAGATACCATGTCATATAGTAATAAAATATAAATATGTATAAGGCTTCCTCAATTAAATATGTATAAGTCCTCCTAAATTATGTACAAATAAATTAGTCTAATAGCATGTCAAATATCCTAAAACTTTCATCGTAATAGAGGAATCTGCATATGGCTGGATCTTTCGTTAGATTTATTCTCTAACATAATCTTAGGATTAATGTCTAGTTCCTTCTGCTTCCGCTTGGCTTCAAAAGATTTCATATATGCAAGGAAACAAGTCCAAATCAAACTGCATACACTGACATACACAACGCGATTCCGCTCTGGGATCAGGGTGAAATTGATAGTTTGCAAAATTGGCCATATGCAAATGGCAACCTAGAAGGAAAATAATCTTTCATCAATCTCCTTAATGTCATAATTATGATAAGAACTTATCTGTATTGTGTAAAATGATACCCTGTATGTTGGCCAGAATTTAATTTTGACCTCCTCAATACATTCCGAAACTGGCTTTAATTCAAGAAAACTCATGCCAAAGAAGAAGGAACACATAGCTGCAGGGGTATATGTAACTTGCTCAACCAAAGCCTGTAATTATTTCATTATTAGTTAATTATTATCTTGAGTTTTAATACAATTTTTTTTTCGTACGTGAATTAATTTAAAAAAATTTACAACAAAATTAAACTGTATATAAAATGTTATAACATTTTTATACACATGTGCGTACCTTAGTGATTGCAGACTTTAAATTTGCTTTCGGCCAAAGATAAGACGCGCATTTCAACCAGCAGTACAATGTAGGTGCTACGTAAAAGCTACCATACAAACTAAACCGCACAACTTCCGCGTAATTAAATTCTTCTTTGCCCATTATTTTTTGTTGCAACAGGCACGCGGTTGGCCATATAACCGAGTAGGATGCCATGCCTCGAACAATCGGATATTTCTGCGTGATCTCGCGAAATTTTACGAATATTATGCGCATTTTCGATATGCTCCTGTTTGCAGAAATATATAAATTATCGAATTAATATTAAATTACTAAATTATAAATAAACTATTAAATTATCGAATCATTTAATTTAAACTATTCGAGATAATCTGGAATATATCATTTGGAATAGCGCGCCAAAAATATGTAATATGTACAGTGCTTTAAAAAAAATCGCACGGGATGTTTTTCACGGAAAGGAAAAATAACAAAGAAGTTAATCGAAATCGCTTTGACTAGACTTTCGAGAAAACTGAATTATTCTCGGCCTCTGAATGCGTCAATTTTTAAAAATAATCCCTTTTTTTTAACTATTTATATATATTCATGTCTGCATATATCTCTCCCTTTTTCCAAAAAAAACCTTATCTATAGACATACGAGTGCGTCTCGCAATTTTACGATTCATTACGTCATAGATGAACTTAGAAACACGAGAAGTTACCTTCCGCAACGTTACCGAGAACAAAAAACCGAACGAGCACTAAGTTGCAACGCTCGTTGACGAACGCGCTCGCTGCAACTTTGACAGATCGCAGCGTTGTGTGTGTCGCCGCGATACGGATCGGTGCATCTGGAGCGCGTGTGTCCTGCTGTGACGCGACGCCGACGATGACTGAGATCTGAGACTGACAGTCTTTGTGTTGAAGGAACACGTGCCCATCGTCGACGATGACGAAATCGATCCATTCTTATCTGTCCTTGGTACGCGACCTGCTGCTTTTCCGCTGAATCGATCGCGTTGCGAAATCAGCTGTTCTCTTATGCACTTTCTTGATAACGTAGAACTCAGAAGACGTCGATAAGGTTGCATACGCGCGATCATCTATAATTTCGGTTGTACTGACATATTAGTTTTCATCTAGAATCGATAATCTATTTAATATATAATCTGATGAAAACGATATAATTTCCTATATAGTCGTATATTCAAGTAATATATCAAGTATAAGATATACGCGCGCGCTATTTTAAGGGCTACAATTGATTTAATGATCTCTTGTGTGTTATGTGATTAAAGAAAGATATATAGTACATAAATATAAGTAAATACATGCATTGCCAGCAATGTATATATAACTGATAAAATATTTAAAAATGCAGAATATTTGCATCTTTATAGACAATGTACATTATATTTATTTCTATACATATATGTCATAGTATTCATAGAATACCTCAGAGATATGTGCATGTAAATTCTTACAAAAATGTAACATTTGGGAAAAGCTTACTTTATGATAATATTATATAAATAACCATGTATATTTTCTCTCTGATTATAACCAAGTTTTCAAATTATGTATTTTTGGACAGCAATATTCATAAAGCAAGCTTGTGTGATAATCTAACTTAAAATTACAAGGATGATACTAGATCTGGTAAGTGTATATAAAAAGACGTCTTTAAAACTTTACATTATTCTCAACACTGTACAAAATAAACAGTGGCCAAAACAGATTGTACTAAGATATTTTTACAATGTGTTGCATTAGCTTTTCATATTTCTAATAATAAAAAAATACTGTATATTCTCAATGATTGCGCGATCCATTAATTTCCCTAAAACTATATGCACAAATTGTTCTTATCAATTTTATCAAGTTCCCCATTAATTTTGCATGCTGTTGGCACAGTCCATTTTGTAAATGAAAACTACACTAACCCAACTCATTACGTCGTAATGTCGAATAAATCACAAACACCCTCGTTCTCACTAAGATTGAAGTGGTAATCTTTCTCTCCTGGAGGTGGACTTAATCTTACCAATGGTCCGCAAACTGCAAAAATTCAGATGGACAGATTAGAGATAGTGTTTAAGATATTACAAGAAAGAAATAAGATTTGACTTACAATCAGAATAGAATTGGTCAAATAACTCCAAATCTGTTTGAAAGATATCTGTAATAAAAAAAAAAGATATTTAGTCTTAAAAAATTTACATTTACGTACAAAATGTTTTTGCAACAAACAGTAAATTCCAAAGTTTAAATCACATGAAATAGATTTACCTGCAGTGCTCACATCACGCAGGACTATCTTTGCTTCTATCAATTCTTGATCTTCTTCTTCCTCGTCATCAGTTAATACTGGACTCTGCGGTTTGATACTACTTTTTGGTGGTCTGTTAAATAAATAAATTGTGTTCAATGTGTTTGTATGCGATTACAGTCTTGAGAAGCAAATATAATATATAAATATAACATATAAATGTACATTTTGTATCAAATGAATAGCTCAAGCTTGATAACTATTCACCCCCATTACAAAACCAATAATTACCAATTACTATTTGCTCTGTGCAGATCAAGAATATTGTCTTACTATTCCTGGTACGATCAGAGCATGTGTATAAAGATGCATTTGCAAATACAACAAATTTCAATTTATACCTGCCAACTTTCCTCTTTGGTTTAACAGTAACTTCTTCCTCTTTTTTTTCATCCTCTTCATTTCCACGCTTTATACCTTTCGATACTTCTTTTAACCTCATTTCTAAAACTTTATTATCATAAGTTTTAGCTAATTCAGGTTGAACCATATATACTTTAATTTCTCCCGAATTACTCTTCAAGTACATGTTATAACTTATCACTGCATCGTCTTGTGTGACAGTCTGTTAAAAATAAAGAGAAAGACATATATGAAAGACACTTTAATATATGTTAATGTGAAATATCTTCCAGATGTTTAAAAAATACCTTCAAAACATTTGGTACTGTTAATTCCGTGTCTGGAGGAGCTTGAATTCCTAGTACGAATTGATCCAGAAAATTCTCTTTGACATCCTCGTAAGTGATATATGCATATTTCCTATTTATCATATCATTTTCTATATTTTTTATACTTTGCTGAATCCATCGAGTATGAGTGTCTAGAAGATACTCGTGATCCTCCAATTTCCTGATCTCCTCCTTCAGGTCTGTCAGCTTCTCGCCAACCTCTTGAGTATTGCAGCCAGGTCCCGCACCCCTTCAATCACAATTTGCAAAGTAACAATAAGTTGAGAAATAGCAATTTACATAGAAAATAAAGTTGAGGGAAATAACTTACTTCCATTGAATGCTGTTCTTGCTCTTCTTCTCTATAAGACCGATACCCTCGAGGACGTTTGTAATATCGTAAATGCGTCGTTTCTGTCGCACCTCCAGGAGATCCGCGGCCTGCAACGTTGACGATTCGATGATACTTTATCGGTAAGAGTCCAAGTACGTTGTACGGATTAGGTTAGGGCGAGATAGCGTGTCAGGAAGTTAAAATACCGTAATAACGCTATAGCCTATGGAGCCGAAAATCGGCGCCGAGTCTCACGAGATCGGACGAAATGTCCGCGTGTTCGTGGATCGATCGAGCGAGCCAAGGCGAACGCACTTCTTTCAAAATTCCCGCAACCCAGATATGGCGTGTATTCGCCCGCGATAACTTAACCTAGTGTTCAGGTTAACTCTCTCTCTCGGTGCCCTGTGTGCGACAAGTTGAATTACTCACGACTTTCAAATCTAGCACGCCGTCCTTGGCTTTCTGAAGCAGGGTGACGAAGCGGGTGGTGAGCAATCCGAGGGACTTCTCGAAACGGCTCTGCTGATTATCTGCCATTATCTCGCTCGTTGTCAAAATTTTCAAAACTTGCTAGTCCCTTCGAAATTGCCGCAACACCACGGACGCCATCCTAGTGCAACGGCTATTCAAATATGAGCGCGTCTCTGCTGTCGGTAACGAATTTCCGTCGCGACTATAGATTTGAATGAGATAAAATCACGTATAAAAAATTATTCGAAATTTATTTCGATTATTTGTTCGGAGTTCACATCCTCCTATACGCTTATTCCTAATTAATTCTGGAGATAAATATTTTATTTTACGAATTATATATCTAAAGAAAAAAGCTGTGAAAAAAAAATTACTCTGTGTACTATCATTATTTTTCTTTTATTTTATCTATAGCGTGTATAAGTAGAGAATCGAATTTTATCTATCAAAATATATTCTTATACTAATAATTTATTATACTTATTACTGTATATATTCACAATGATATTTATATAAAT